CAGCCAGTTACATATATCCACGATTAAAGTATTTTTGGCATCTGAGCCCATTTAGTCTCTGCACTATCATCTGCTTTATGTTCTGGTGGTGCCTGGGGTGCAGGGAGGCTACACAAAGGTTAATACAGCTGGGGCACAGAGGCATCCATATTAGTGAGCAGTGTAAATGAAATCATGCTCAACTAAGCAGGAGAATTTGGATAACTACCCAGGTCCAACAACAAGGGAAGCGCTGCCTCATACACCTGAGGACAGAAAGGCTCGTGCAGGTCACAACACGAACTCAGCTTCTCTGGCTGCACGGGATCCAGGTGCTACAGGCCTCCACAGTAGCAGGGAGGGAAAGCCAGATGGACAACACATGTTGAAGACGTGCTTAAATAGCCACTCTTCTCTGAGCAATTTTCCACATGGATTTCACCCTCAGCAATTGATTTGCAGTTGTTTATTCTCTCCAGTTAGGTAACAGGAGTCTTATTTAAATGATGCCTGGATGTCAGCCTAAGGAATGTGGCCAGAGATCTCAATCCAGGGCTGCTTATAAGCCTGGGGGGAGAAGTTTTGCTTTGCAAAACTCACCTGTGGAGACATCCTTACAGTAGGCAGTGGAGGCAGCCCAAGTCCTTGTGGGGCTAGAAGAACCTATCCCATATGGCACATATTTATAGCAGAGGAACACCAACTTACCCTAATTATCACCCCAGGACTACAGCTCCCTCAGCATGGTACTAATACCAGGTAGGACAACATTGGAGGATCAGACTTTCCAAAATGGGCACACATGGCCTTTCTTCAGGCTTCAGGGACACTTGGAAAATAAAACTAGGAAAGGGCTTAAATTACTCTGGTCAGATCCCGAGATTAAGTCAGGACAACCCTTTCCTACCTGTACTGTGATGCTCTCACAGTCTGGAAGACCTTGATTCCTCGGGTGACCTACTGCCCCTGCCAACAGCAGCCTCCACTCTCAGAATCTATAAAGTGCTGCCAGAGGGACACGGACAACACCACGTTGAGATTGTAAAAAGTAGAAAAAGCAGGGAAAGCGCGAACGAGGTCCCAAAGGAAACCTGCCACTGCAGGATGAAGAGGAAACAGACCATGGAAGCTGGGTAATAGGAAAATATTTTTGAACATTATATTCTTTCTTGTGTAACAGCAAATAGTTCAATCATGTTGAGAGGAGACATAGAAAAGGAAAAATTTGCTGATATATTTAAATGCAAAGGTTTTTCCACCCAACTTTCCAGATCAGTCTTCTCAAGAGCTCCAAACTGGCTGAACAGCTTCTTTCAGTGGATGTCATCAAGCCAGCACTTAGGCTGTTAGATACAGCAAATTAGAGCCAGGAAAAAAAAAAAAAAAAGTTGGCTTTTATTCTATAAGAGTGTCCAGAAGTACTGGTAGATGGAGGAGCAAAGATCATTAGACTCATATGATCTGCTCTTACCGTTATACTAATAATATGACCAGCTTGAACCTGTCCCCATTTTGTCAGAATCCTAATAGCATCAAGATGATGAAAAAGGAACACATGAAGCCAGAGGATGGGAAAGGCTTCCCAATGGAAAAAACGGATGCATTACCCTTCTGAAAATGAATGCTTGAAATGTGGAGTTCTGGCACGCAGCAAGCAGACTTATCTCTAGGAATTCCCATTTACAGCAGTTCCCCCGGGTGCCCAAGAAGTGCCTGTTGCTTTGCCAAGGGGCTGCAAAGCCAGGGCCATGCACGGCCGCTGCTGGGGGGGACACTGACTGCTCGGTGACAGCGTGGAGCCCTGGTCCTTCTCGCCCCCCGACACCACACACAGCTCAGCCCTCTTAGTCAGGGCTCGTGCAGGAACACAGGCACGCTCTGCGGGTCGGGGGCTGACTCGGGGCTTGGTGACACTTGGAGGAGACAGGTCTAAATTTGAAGGTAATCTACATACCTACATACCACTGGAGTTAGATTCATCTCAGATTTGAGCAGAGGAATTGCACAGAAGACAATATTCCAAACAACTTGTTTTGGGAGCAGCATATACACACAAAATGCTCTGAAAAGACACTAAGATACCATATGCTGCTTACAGAGTTGCGAGCAAGTGCAACAGGCTGGAAGGCACAACATCCTGCAGTTGCATTTGAGGGAAGGGGTTCTCACAAGCAAACAAGCTGAGGAGATGCAGCCCTGTGCCCAGGCTGTTCAGGAACATGACAGACAAAACAGTTTTGAAATACAGCGCTCAGGATCACCATCCTGAAAGGTATACGTAAAAATAAACATTTAGGCCAATCTCTTCATCTCTCCTCCCTACCTCCTTTTTTCCCTTCCTTTTATTGATTTTATAAGACTTTTAACACAATCTCCTATGCCTGTGTTAATTGCAATGTGCCTCCTCCACTACTGCCACTTCTAGAAAAGAATACAGGTTGTATTTTGTGCTTCTTTGGGGAAATTCCCTTGAAAAGGTCCAGTTGACTGAACAAGATGCCCCTCCTAACAGCTGACCCCACCGCTTGGGGGAGAGCCAGGGCCAAGCTCCCAGAACAGAGGAAGGTGTTTACCGACCTAGGGTTAAGGAAGACACAACATAACTTCTAATGAGAGCTTATTTTGCTATCAAATTTGGTATGAGATGCTCCCACTGTACAGCAGAGAGGAAAAAAATATTATTTATCCTGGCTTGTCTGTTCTCCAGTGGCTCTAAGGTTTTAAGTTAAAAGCAACTTCTAGAAATAAAGGGAGACTTGACCCAAACATTTCTTCCTGGTGGTTAAGATCCAGAAATAACATATTTGAATCTTGAGGCATGGGAGGCTCACCCTTCTCTGCTGCTGCTGCTGAAACCTCACTGCCTTGAGCCTAATTATTTCTTAGGCCTCTCTGGTGATGCCCAAACTTGGAGCCATCACAAGCCCTTCACAACCACTACAAGGGCTATGAGACACACCAAGCACAACCTGTGATAGCTTCAGTCACTAAACTGTCCCCCACATCAGGGCTTAATCTCCTCCTGACCAGGGAGTCATTGCTCAGGCCAGGACAGACAGTTCCAGCTGGAGCCCGGTCTGGCTGCAGGGCTCCCTGCCCTGGAGGCTGACCAGCGACCCCAACCATCACCCTCTCACGTGGCTTCCTTAATTGTTCTTACGTATAAGGTCCACTTATTTTGATTTTTAATTGCAAAAGACTCTACTACTGACTGTTAACAAGGAGATTCTTCTTGCTTTGCACAGGCCTGTCCTGTCTTTCCAGTGCTGCTGGGACAGGAGAAAGCAAACACAGGCCAAACCACCTGCTCTTAAGGTCCATGTCTTGCTTACAGGACACCTGAGAGGCCTCCTGAAGGAATCAGCCCTTTGAACTTCTTCAAAGGGTGTATTCATCTTCTTACTGGACAGAAGCTAAGGTCTTGGAATAATCTCAGCTAGACAGGTGGACTTCCAGCTTCACCCAGACAAGATGAGAATAGACTTGGCAAGTATGAGTTCTTCCTCTTACCATGGATGTTCTTCCTCATTCTCCAGTATCCGTAACAGGACCAAAGAGAGTTTGCCTTGCAAGTGGGAAGTGGTGTAACCCTAAAAACCATGGATAATAGGTGACACAGAGTACTCCATTTTTGCTGCAGTGGCAGACAAGTAGTGCAGCAAAGAGGATGGACTTGACACAGTTTAGGTCACCTCTGACCATGGGCCTTTCGTACCTCCCACAAACTCCTTCCTCGGATTTCTTCCCAAGCTCCTAGCGCTGCCAGAGGGTGACCACACAGTTTGGAGATGATGTGAGCCCTGGAGATGATGGCAAGATTCACCAGGAGGAGAAACCCGCTCCCCGAGAAGTCAGAGCTCCAACACCACATCCTCACCAGCACAGCTGGGGCGCTCAAGAAACACCCCACTAGCTGCTCCACACAGACAGCCGGGCTGCAGGGAGTCAGTGGAATTTGAGGTCATGAACGAGAATGGTAGAGAGTTGGCCGGGGCCAAGAGAAGGTCCCAGGACTCTAAGCACAGAAGCCTGAGCTTTGCTGGGGCCAGGTCAGAATATCCAGGGGGTTCTGCAGTTGAAAGGAACCAAAACCACTGTACATTAGAAAGTACTTTTGACATTACAGTAAGTATCATCTTATTTAGAGAACTACCACTATCAACAAGCTGCAAGTCTGATGAGCCTTTGGTTTGTTTGAAGGTGTCAGGGAGCATCACCTCTATCATTTCTTAATGGGTGCTTCTTTCAACAATGATGCCTGTGTAGAAATCAGGCCAGACATCAGAAAACAACCTCCAAACAGAGCTGAAGGGTTCCCATCTCATCTTCCTGGGTATCCAAGGATGCTGCTTCCCTCTCCCATGAGGGAGGAGTTTCAGGCCATCTCCTCCTGCTGCTGATGGAACAGCCCTTCTCCAAGGCTGGCCTCAAGGAGGCTTGCAGGAGACCAGCTACCGCATGCTCGCTGGCTCCTGGCACGGCCCTCATGGTCCATACAGGGAAGAAATTGGAAAGTATCAAAGAAAAATAAAAAAAGAAAAAGTATGTTGCTATTAAACTGGATAGAGACCATCAGAAACTACACTGCAGCAGGAAGGGAGGGGAAGGGAGAGGGACAGCTTCACACCCCAGTGCTCACCTGCACTTTGCTTTCTCCCAGGGATGGGGGCGAGAGCGGTAAGGAGACAGCGTGTCTGGTCACAGGGATCCCCAGGAGCTGTAAGGAGGTCCCAGCTCTGGAGGGCCCCGCGTCGTCACATCACATGTGGCAGTGCCCTCTCTACCTGCCACATCACGGCCTGCAGCTGCAGGCACCACTGTGCAAAACCTACCCCCCCTCAGGAGGACACGAGCAGGAGAGGGAGAGAGGGCTGCTCCGGGGCCCCAGCCAAGGACAGGCCCCAGGGACAGGGCGCAGCGAACGGGAAAGCTCCTCACAGAGAGCAGGAACCCTCCCCTGGAGGCAACCCCGGGGGAACGGGTGCCTGGGGCTGCCGCAGGCCCCGCCGAGCGGCACGCACCTCTCCGGCGGAGGAGGAGGAGGAGGTCCCGCGGCCGGGGCCTTCATCGGGAAGGGGCTCCTGGCGCGCTCGGCGGCCCATCCTCAGCACCTGCGGGAGAAGGGGCAGGGGGCCCGCGGTTACTCACGGCAGCGGCCCCGGAGGGGCCCGGAGAGCCGGAGCGGCGCCGGGACCCGCGGCGCCGGGACCCGCGCCCCCTCCTCGGCCGCAGCCCCGGCCCCTACCCCGGGCCCCGCTCGGCGCGGCGGCGCCTCGGCCTCCATCCCGCCGCCGCCGCCGCCGGCACTTCCTGGAGACCGCCCGCCCCGCGCGTCCCTGGCAACGCGGCGCCGCCCCCCGAGCGGCGGGGAAGGGCTTGGGCTGACGTGGGCGTGGCCTGAGCGACAGGGGCGGGGCCTGTGCCGCTGTGGGCGGGGGCGGAGGGGCTGTGGGCGGGGCCTGGGATTGTGGGCGGGGTCTGTGTGACTGTGGGCGGGGCTTGTGCGGCGTCGGCCTCAATGGCTCGGGCGCACGGCTGCAGCAAGGCCCAGGACCGAGACCAGGGCTGTTGGGCACCAGGGTGCTGGGCGCCAGCCCCCCAGCTCCAGCTCGCGGGGACTCCCTGTCACAGCCCCGTGGCCCCGGCACCTCGTACCGAGGGATCACCGGGCTCTCCCGCACTCCCTGGCCGGTGGCCCCTAAGAATTCTGCATACAGCAGTGTCAGCGAATCCTGCCCTCATCCCACGCTCATCCATTCCTCACCGGAACGCTCAAGGAGCTGCGCTGCGGCCGTGATGATCTCAGGACTAAGCGCAGGAAGATTTGTAGGCAGAGGTAATAACTTTTTATTATTAGACCAGCTGATACAACTGGAAAAAAACAGACAAGAAGCGTTTCTGTGCCCAGAAGCTTGTCTGTTTTTTCCAGCCGTATCAATCGGTCTAATAAAAGATACTATCTCTCCTTACAAACCTTGACATGTTCAAGGAATTCAGTAAGTGAGGCGTGATTTTCCTCTTCAGAAGCCAGCCTGCTTAGGCTCCATGAAATCACAGGCTTCCAGAGACAGCCTTCTCCTCTTTTAATTACGGATTCGGCTGCTCCGAGGGCCACTGTCACCCATCCAAGTCCTGTGCATTAGCTCCGCGGACACCTGGGCGCTGAGCCCGGCCCCACCTGAGCCCCATGCGAGCTCAGCCCCCCACGTGCCGCCACGTGTGGGAAGGAAAACGGCTCCGCACATGCAGGGCTGAGTCCTGCCCCAGACCCTTCACCTCTGCCTCCAGAGATTCCTGACGGGAGGGAAGAGCGGATATGCAGAGAGAGGGGCCTCCCCGGTGCCCCCTGGGTTCCCACACAGCAGCTCCATGTGCAGGAGCAGTCTGGGCGCCCCATGGACGCCTCCGCCTGCCACCGTGGAGGAGAAGGGCGGCCCCTCTCTTTTCTCATGCTGTGGAAAACCTTCCCTTCCCTTAGCCCCTGGCTCACGCTCCCTGAGCATCTGCATCACCACGGGCAGCATCTGAGCCGGTTCAGCCAAGGAGACAAAGCTAAGGGCAGCGACCAGCGGCTGCGGTGGCTGTGCCTCTCCGAAGCCATTTGCCCTGTTCGCTTCCCCCCAGCCCGGGTCTGCGGAGCCGGGGTTGCTCTTTGCCAGAGTCCTGTTCCAAGGGGGAGTTCCTCAGCTCCATGTCTGCATTGCCTGTTTTGTTCCTCTCACATACAAACCCTAACACCTCAGCACGGACACGATCCCAAAGCCAGGCCCATGGGGCAGCACCAGTGGAGTCCCCACGAGCTCTCCTCGCTCTCCATTACCCCTGGAGGTGTCCCATGAATGGGGTCTGTGTCTGGCGGTCCTCGTGTGCGCGAGAGCAGCCGGAGGAGCCCGGGAAGGCCATCGCACCAGGGCCTTCCCACACGTGTCCCGGGGCAGCCCTTGCTGCTCTTGGTCTCTGTGAGAACAGATGCTCTTCACGTGGCATCAGCCGCAGCTCACAAACCCCCCGTTGGGGCTGCCGAGCGTGGAATATTTCCCATGAAACTCATGTGCTCCGTAGCCCCGTCCCCCAGCCCAGCTGGATCCCAGCGTGTCCGAGCTGGGCCTTAGCGATGCAGTTCGCAGCCACTAGCAGCGACTCCTGCCCCGTCGCTTCGTAACGCAGCGAGTGCCACCCGCAGAGCCGAAGGCGGGCGGCCCCGTCCTGGCACCAGCCCCAACCTGCCTCCTTCTCCGGTGCCATTATTTCCAAGGGGTGAGCACAGGAAAATTTCACCTCATTGCTGCTGTGTCAACCGAGGTTATCCACGTCCTGCCCTGCACTGATAGGGCTGCCCAACTTTGGCTGAGCGGCCGGTTTCATTAGCGCATTCACTTCCATGTGCCAGGATCCTTAACGAGCGCTGGGCCTGGGACCAGCCCCCGGGGAACTCCGCTCATAATCTCCTATAATTCCTGCACTTATCTCAGTCTTAACTAATAACTCACCGTGTGGCACCGGGGCCAATGGATTACTGAAGTCCAAAGCAATCAGTTCTGCTGCATTTAGTGTGACCTCCAACGTAATGCGGGGTGCAGGATGGAAACGCGTCCAGATTCATTTCAGTGGTGCCTGGGGAGGCTTGGAAACGTCCATCCCAATCTATGTTAAGATATTTCCAGAGGATGGTTAGCAGCAGGGCTCAGAATTTGCACCTTATTCCAAGCCGTGATTTCTCTGACATCATCTTGGAGCCACCAGATCTTGTTACATCTCAGTCTGCTCCGTTAAGGAGCTGTCTTCTCACGTTCCTCTCCCTGAGCAAAGTGCTCGTGCACAGTGACCAGCTCACCCTCATCCTCCCCTTTGAAGAGTAAAACAGAGTGAGTCCCTCGTGTGCAGGCGACTCGTTCGCGGGGAGCCCGACGCACTGCGCTGCGTCCTGGCTTCTCCCAGTGCCTCTCCCCATGCAGCATCTTCCCGTGCCGACAGGGAACGGCGCTTGCAGGGATGTGCTGCTCCCGCAGCCCCCAGCGCTCCATGCCCGGCCCCAGGACAGCGCTGCGGGAGCCGCACGGCCCGGGAGGCCACCCTGCAGAGCGTGACACCCCCAGGGCCCGGCTCCAGTGGGCACGGGCACCCTCGCAGGCTCACAGCCCCGCCACGGCCGTGCTCCCATGGGAATCCCAGGTCCAGCTCCTGCGGGATTCCCGGGCCTGGCTCCCACTCTCCCGCAGCCCCAAGCAGGCGCCCAGAGAAACAGAGTGGGTCACTCTTTTTGCTGAAAACGCGGGGATTTCCGCGCGCGGCCGCGGCCGGGGCAGGAAGGCCCCAAGCTGCCCTAGCGCCCCGCTCTCCGTGCCGCTCCCCGGGCCCGCGGTCCCCGAGGGCCCCACGACCCCGCCGCGTCCCGGCCGCGCCGCAGCCCCCCGCGCGCCCGCCCGCCCGCCCTCG